GTGCTGCGGGGCCCAGGTGCTACAAGGCCGCGCCCGGGGAGGAGGAAGCCTGGGATGTTCGGGAGGCTGTGGGCCAGCCAGCCCCCAGCCAGCAAGGGCTGGGCCACCGGGCACAGCGGGCACGGCCTGGGTCTGCGATGACCAACACAGAGCCTCTTCTTTCCTGGCAGTGCCTGTGTCGAAGCCTCAGGTGCGGCTGAGCGAGCCGTCCCCCGTGGAGGGGACATCGGTGGTGGCCACGTGCACAGTGCGGGAGGGCACGGAGCCCATGACCTTTGCCTGGAAGCATCAGGCACCCAGAGGCCACGGGGAGGCCCCGCTGGGGGTCAGGGAGCGAGTGCTCCTGCTGGACCCAGTCAACCGGACACACCTGGGCTGGTACGTGTGCAGCGCCCACAACGCCGTCAACCAGCTGAGCAGCGACGGGGCCTTCCTGGACGTCATCTGTGAGTCCGACAGGTGTGGGGGCAGGTGGGCAGGGCCGGCACCCAGCTACCCACTTCACTCGGCCTCCTGACACACTCCGGGCCCCCTGGAGTGCCCCAGCCTCGGGGTGCTGCACCCACTGGTGCCAAATGCGGCTCCAGGACACTGGGTTGTAACCTTGTCAAGGTCATGGGCCCCTCTTCCCAGCAAAATTCGCCTAGATTCGCAGTCACAAGTTTACCCACCGTTCAGGGGTGGCGCCGAAAGCCTGCCTTTGGGTTAAGCCTGAAAGACTCTCAGGGACCACCCGGACCCAAGGAAACAGGGGGCATTGTGGGTAAAGAGGGCACAGGTGGGTCCCTACAGGGACTTCTGAGAGCAAAGGAGGGGTTAATTGCAGAACAAAGAACTCCAACCCAGCCAGCGAGGAGGAAGTAGCCAGCTATACAAAGTGGAGGGAAGACCAGGAGAACTGGTTCAGGAACGAGGAGAACACAGAACGGGAATGAGCTTCTGAAAGGGATGGGAAGTTTGTGTGAAAGATGAGGACCAGACGGTCTCGAGCAGCGCTGCCCAGCATGCCCACCCTGTTCTCTTCCCTCTCGTCTCGAGGGACCAACTGGGCCAGTTCCTCAACGCCAGGCAACGTGAGAGGGCTGGGCGCCCTCTTCTGCCCACCCAACTCTGGCCTGTCCCCTACCTCAGCCCAGCCCCCTCGGGCTCCCCCAGCCTGGGGCTCACTGCACAGACCCCCGTCTCCCACACTGGGCTGTGCCTGTGGCCCCTGGACTCTGGCTCCTTAGGGGCCTAGCAGAGTGGTTGACACCGTTGGTGCGTAAGACGTGGTGGCTGGATGGTGAGTAGGTGTGGCGGTGGTCACATGAGCAGATGCAGGAATGCAGACTGGGCAGGTGTGACGGCCTCCCCTGCCCCCCAGACGGTCCGGACAAGCCTGTGATCACCATGGAGCCGCCGGGCTTCACCGAGGAGGGTTTCTGGGCCAGCGAGAAGGAAGAAGTGACTCTGAGCTGCCTGGCTGCGTCCAACCCCCCTAGTCACTATGTGTGGCTCCGGGACCACACGCAGGTCCACACCGGGCCTACCTACACCATCGCCAGCGCCAGCCGCGCCCACACTGGCCTGTACACCTGCCTGGCCCACAACAGCCGCCTGGACACCCGCACGCAGACTGCCATCCAGCTCAGCATCTACTGTGAGTGTGTGCTCCCCCGCCCCCAACCCTGTGCTCCTGCAAACTGCAGACGCCTATGGGGAATGGGGCAGATGTTGGGGGGAGGCAGGTTTGGGGGACCAACTGGAGTTGCAGAGCAGGGGGAGAGGCTAACAAACCTTGGGAAGGGCAGGGAGAGGGATAGCCCCCCGCCCTGTGCAGACACCCCTTCTGAGTGGTTGTCCCCATGGTCCCCGGACTGAGCTGCGGCACAGAGAGGGGCAGAGTGAGGACAGTGAGACACGGTGCCCAGGTGAGGATGGCAGTGGGGCATGGGAGCACTTCCTGCTGGGGCTTCCATGGGAGGCCCCGTGTTGCCCAGGGATTCTGACCTCCTGCCCAGCCCCCAAGCCATGCCCCTTGACCTGAGAGCTCAGCCTTCTGCTCACCAGCCCCTCAGAGGGGTCGGTCTCCTCTGCTCACCCACTTCTCCCCACGTCACCTACCAGGACGCCTCTGGCCCCAGGGGTGCTGGCACATGGGCAGTGTGGCCTGGTCCAACCCCATCCGAGCCCACTTGTCCCCAGATCCCCCTGAGGGGCAGCCCTCCTGTGCAGTGCTCCCCGCCCCCGGGGCTGTGACTTTGGTCTGCGCCTGGCCTGGGGGGCTTCCAGCTGCCCAGCTGCAGTGGGAAGGGCCCCAGGGAACAGGCCCTGCCGCCCTCAGCAATGTCACCTGGAGTCACGCAGCCACCCAGCTGCCCAACGGCAGCGTCTTCACCTGCACCGGCCAGCACCCCGCCCTGGCGTTGCCCGCCCCCTGCAGGACCACGCTGTGTGAGTGGACACAGAGATAGCCGGTCTCTGACATCCCAGGCAGGGGAGAGAGGAGGGCCAGGGGGGAGGATGGAGGGGCTCTGGGTCTGGGTGGGGCTCTGACCACAAACTCTGAGACTTTCCATGCAACAGGGAGGTGGCAGTACTCAGCCCAGACCCCACCTCCCAACTTCTCTCCACCCCGGCTGGTCTCCACCTGCACTGAGGCCTGTCCTCCTGGTTTCAGGCTTGGGACCCTGTGACCCCCTCCTAACTGTCTCCCAGCCTCCAGGGTCAGCAGGCTCTCACCCCCACCTCCTGCCTCCCTCCCCCCACCCCCCCACCCCCCA